TAACACATACAAATTGGTTTTGCTTTCTTGCATTCTCCCACCCTTCTCCTTTTCTGTTGTTGTAATGCAGTCTTCTCTGGCTCTGATGCTTTGACATTTCCCAGAATTCCTGCAAAGTTATCCTAAAGTAGAAGGAGGGCACCGTTGGGGAAGGCAGCTCTGCTGTGTTGTGCCGAACTGGGCAAGGACTGTGTGTTTCTCCGAAATGTACTAGCATAGTTTACAAATTTCCAAATAATGAAATAAAATAGAACAGAGAGACAGTCCACTAGTTTGAATTCTGAACTAAAATGTCTGTTTTCTATTTTTCTGGCAAAAAGGGTTTTATCTTGTCCCAAGAAAAGAGCAATCCAGGGGGCACATTTATTTATTTAGTTAAGGTGCCTTGTATGCTGTTCAATTCTAAATGGTTCCAAGGGGCTTATGTTGAGGAACAAAAAAATATTAAAATAGAAGCATATTAATGTGGGTTTCCTGCTGCTTTCATCAAGCTAACTGGAGCAACATCATGTTGTTGAACCATAAGCTCCACCCCTTTAGGATGTGCTCATGATATCACAATGCCTATATAAAAGGGGCAGGACCTACATTGCAACATCGCACTGCTGCATTTGATGGACTGATCTGTCTGACTCCACTGCACAATAATCAAAACAAGAAATGAGCCTTTTGCAGGAAAAAAATTCAGCTATTGGAGCATAACCCCAAATGTTACTTCCCATAAGTGGACTAATACCCCCAAAGCCTCATCCTGTTATCTGCCTTGTATCTATTACCAAAGAGACCAAAAGGAGGGTGACCTCAAGGACTGAGCAAGAATTCCAGGAAGATTTGCAGACAATCCTGTGTTAATCTAATCCCAGATAGTTCAGATAAGGCTGAGAAACCAGAAGCCTCTCCTCCTGGACCATTGACTATGCTGGCAGAGGGTTAGAATTGCCATTCAGATATCTGGAGGGCCACAGGGTCATTTCTCCACCTCCCACCCCCGAAATTAGAGCTTCAAGGCCAGAGATAGCTGTATTGTGATTCTTCCTATTGTTGTGTGTCAAAGTATCCTGCCGGTTTTTAACAATTGCTTTAAAAGAAGAAAACAGTATTGATGAAATTCTCCTGATTGGGTGTGAATCCTCTTGCACTTGCAATAATCTGTCTGACACTCTACAATCCTCACAGTTTCCCATATTTCCATTAGGCTCCACAAGAAGACTTCAGCAAAGATCTGTGGGCTGTTGAAAAGCAGTTTGACTGGGAGCTGTGGGCAGTGGGAGGGTTTTGCTAGGAAAACGTGCAAGAGAAAAGGACTCAAGGACATTCCTCCAAGAAATTCACAATAAATATTCAAACACTCTGAGAATAGTCTGAATGCAACAGTAAAATTATAACAGACAACAGTACTCCTGGCAGAACACAATTATATTGTACTCAGTTGTCCAGAATTTCTAACTTCAAGCCATAAACATGCAGGCATAGAGACACAATGGGCACATTTCCGTTGATAGATGACTTGCAAAATTTTCCAGTACTAGGAATTAGTGTTCAGTGAGAAGAATGAAAAAGAAAGGGGGAGGGGGAAGAAAGAAAGGTGTGGGAGGGAGGGAGGGAAGGAGGGAGGAAGTTAGTAACAATAGAGGTGAATATTAGAGGCGAAGTTAGTAAATTAGTTTCCAAGTGAGATTCACTGATGAAAAGAAGGATGGAAAGCAGATGTCACCCCCAACATGACCAAGAAAAGGCAGTGATGAAGCCATATTTGTATGAAAAATGCAGGTATGATACAAGAGCAACCAGTCAGTTGAATGCAGTATCCATCTGAGTGGAGGCCTTCGAGAACTGCAAGTTCAAAGTTAAGTTCATACATAATTTCTCGGGCCTCTCCACCTTTCAACTGCTGGACACGTGGAGAGCTTTGCCTCACATCTGGCTCTTAGCACGTTATGCATCTCCTCCACAGTGAGTGTAACAGAGGGACTAACCTTATTCACTGTTTCAGTCTAGTTTCACTCAACCCCCCCCCCCAAAGCCTGGAGCAGCTCCAAGTTCTCTGCAACCAGTGCCTTGTCCTGGTTCCCTTCCCTTATTTTCCATTACCTGCTGCCTATAGCCTTTTTAATTCCACTCCTCCCTCAGCCACCCATAGATCTCTTACTCTATTTAAATGTTTCATTCTGTTTTTCCTCAGCTTACGTGAGGCACCACCCTTTAAATTACAGCTTTGGCATATGTCGGCTGCTCAATCCAGCCCAAATTCCTCAATAAACGCTACTTTCGTGCCCCTGTGCGCACTAAAGTCACTTTTGGAGATTGAATCTGAAATGCTCTGCAGTCCTACTAAAGAAGCCTGCCAGCTGTATTGCCATTTCTCACTGTGTTCATCACAAAAGCAGTGTTGCAATATCACACTGCAAGCCCCCCCCCCCATTGGGCATTTTTTGACATCATGATGCACATGTACAAAAGGGTCAGGACTTGCATACCACCACACTGCTTTCATCAGTCCCTCCCACTCTTGCCTCTGCAGACATTGGTGAAGACTGCATCAGGGAAAAGCAGATATCCAGGAATTAGGGCAAGATAGTTTGGATTTAAAAAAAAAAAAAATCAAGTGTTATCTTAACAAAATTTAATAAATCAGAGGGAGATATATAGAAAGATACTGTTTCCTTGAAGATTTAAAGGTTATTAAATGTGTGGATTTTTGAAATAATCTTTAATGAAAAGCTGCTGGACCAAAATCCAGCCATATTAACATAGACAGTAAAGCAAATCAGATTGTTTTAATGTTCTGCATGTTCCTGTTTCTGAGCTCAACATTCCAATGAATCTAGCCTTTGGATCCAATAATTGGTGGATTTTCAAGTTCTATTAAACAAAATAGATTCTAAAAGCAGAAGTGTATTCCCTAGATTGCCATATGTTCTAGATTTTAAAAAGTTTTTCCTTATTTAGAGTAAACACCTTTTTCAAATGAATAATGAAGGCAACATTTTTTTTTTCTTCTGTCATCTCCAGACATGGGCAAAAGCAACTTTTATTTTGCCTGTCATCTGTACAATTTGGTTGAGATTATATTATTACCCAGTTCTGCTCCTTCCTTTTAATTTTGCATTTCAAAAGAATGCATTTTTTTCATAGGGTAGCATTCAAAAAATTTTACTCAGATTAAGCACTCTCAAAATCTAACTCTAACTGCCACATCAGTGGGACTTAGTTGTGACTAACTTAATCAGAACAGTACTTACGAATTCTAGAAACAACTTGCTTGGAAAAGCAATGTATAACTATATGTATTAAATCTAATACATTGCAAGATATTTTAAAGTCCATGTTCTGGTACATATATGTCACTTTATTAACATTTTATTGTTGTTGTTGTTCAGTCGTTAAGTCGTGTCCGACTCTTCGTGACCCCATGAACCCTGTCGCGCCAGGCCTTCCTGTCCTTCACTGCCTCCCTGAGTTT